AACTTCTTGAGTAACCATACTACCTAACTCATATCCTTGATCATAAAACATCATAACATAAAGGAACACACCATGGCTACTCTAAAAGCCTACTTGTGCAATGCATGGATGGCATCCCATACTACAACCCACACAAAGTAGTGCATTCTTGAGAAGCCACAGTTCATTATCATTCTTTGTGGGGGTAAGCCTTAACCAACATAGACCATGTGAGCAAATCATGGAATCCCACACTGAATAAGTGATTCCTACTTGCCTAAGGTAGGACCGTTAACATTTAGCTTAGGTGGATCCCCTAGCTAAAACCTATGTGGGCACATATTTATGGGATATGGAAATAGCTGCTAGACACCCCGCCTCAACTCATGGATGCGCATCCATCCATAGAGATTGCTACTCACTACAAGAAAATGTACTTTAAGCTACAAAATACATTGTAGCTAAATATAAAATTTTCCGTAGCTAAACACTTTAGCTACATTATTTTGTTTCGTAGCATGCGTAGCAAGATGTAGCGTGGCTAATAGTTAGCTACAAACTTTACATGGTCCGTAACTAAGATTTTATACTTATAACTACAAAATAAAATTGTTTATAGCTGCAATGGATACAAACTTCTGCCACGAAAAATATACTTATAGCAAATTATTTTATTCTTGTGCCACGATAAATAAAATTTGTATCTATCTTTATAAAGTAGCCATAAGGGGTTGTATTGTAGCAAAAGATTCAATTTATTTGCCACGGATATTTAAACTTTGTGTCTAGTTCTATAACTGATCTCGTGGCAATAATACTTATATTTAGTTATGAATCAAAAAATTCATAGCTATAACTCAATGTATTTGCCACAAATTTTTTCATATTGTAACTAACAATTCATATATCTAGTCATGAAATATCAGTGTTGAAGCTTAAGAAAAACTATTTGCTATAAAAAGTAATTTTTTAGCCATGTTCTCTATACGTGGCAATTATAGGAGTATAGATATAGCTACAAATTTAAAATTTCATAACTAAAATTTCACACTTCATTGTCACAACATATAAATTGTAGCTAAAAAAATCTTCATTTTTTAACAAGATATTTTTGTGGCAATTATATATTCTTCACAAGATATTTTTGAGGAAATTATATATGTTTTTCAACCTAATAAAAAAAAATTCATAGCTACAAATTCATACAATGTAGTTTCTATTTAACATGAAATTTATATTAAAAATGTGCGAAATATATTGAATTGTATAATAAATACAATACATGGAGAAAAATACTTAATAATGATTCAACAATGTCATTCAAAATAGTGAAACATCATTTTATTCAAACATATAAATATTCTTTTACAAGACATAATAGCTATTTTTGTCCCGTCAATTTTGATGCTCTCATCACTTCTTCATAAGCTGCAAAAACAGTTAAATATTACATAAGAAAATGACATAATAAAATATTTAATTTAATTATTAATATGATTTTTAAAAATAACCATCATAATTATAGCTAATTTCTATCTCATCCTGAGTGCCCATGCTTCCTACAAAATTATTAAACACGAGTTAGCTATATATGATTTTGTAAATTTCTCTAATTGAAATAATAATAAAAATTTAATATTGCAGAAGTTATATTACCCTGATAAACAAGTTCCTCAACGTGTTGTTTGGGGAGATTTTCTTTGATCGACGTCGTTTTAGAACTCTTACGAAGTTCCACAAGTTTCACATCATCATTATCAATCAAGCAATTATTTTTTTTCCGAAGACCATTCCTGCCCATATCTTATTGCAAACAAGTATTTGTAAGATATAAAAATGTATTTAATAATCAATTTTGAAAAAAATTATAAAAACAAAAAAACATGTAACTCAAAATCAATACATGGATACATATTTAATAAAATAAAGAATTCATGTATAAACAATACAATCAACCAAGAGTAACTGTATTGCTAATATATCGTTTCATTGATTAAAAATTATATACAAAAAATTTAAAAAGTGAAAAAGATAAATTCAAAAATTGACAGAAATTAAAAAAAAAAGGAGAAGAAGAAGAACGTACTTGTTTTTAGATGTTACTGCAAAATGTTAGAACACCAAAAGATGAAATTAGAATATGTATTAAAATAAAGAGAATTAGTGATGTTAGGGTGATTTTACTTCCTTTTGGGTGCTAGTTTTATTACGTTTTGCTTATTAAAATAGGAAAAGAAAGAGCTAATTTAGGCATAAAATAATGAGAGGGAAAAAGTTTGGAGGGAAATATTTTTACTTCTATTTTGATTTTTGTGTATTCGTGGATTTCCCTCCTAATAACTAGAATAATAATAAAAAGTTTCATCACTTATTTAATTAATGTTATTTAAAATCTAAAATTGATATGTAGATTTTTTTAATTAGCTAGGACCTTATCATATCCAAAGCTCTTTTTCTCTTAGAGAAGAGAACTTTGTTGTCAATTCAATGATAAATATGATTAATGAGATTTTTCTATTTAGTTACAATATTTGTTTGTCATTAAATTTTTATTTTTTTAGTAGTGTTTAGTGTGCGTTTGATCATATTTTATTGTAAAATTTGAAAAAATCATAGGTTTTATTTTTAAAGTGAATAAATATTTTGTGTTGGTCAAAGTGAATTTTTTTCCTCTTTAGAACAGAATGACTCGCCCAAAAATTGGCCGAAGAATGAAAAAAAGAAGTGAAAACACCTTTTTTGTTGTTTCTTTTGAAAATTCTAGAATTCAACTTCAAGTTAGATTCCAAAATTTTATGATCAAATATGTTTTTCAGAGTTCAACTACCAAAAAGTGAATAAATTGCATAGCCAATCGTTCATACATATTGAAAATACAAAGATAAGAATTAACTATGTTATTAATGCAATAATATCTTATATTTGAAAGGGAAAAGGGTCTAAAAAATACTCCAACTTTGGCCATATGCTGTTACGAAACCAGACTTTATGGAGGACATTTTACCCCCCTCCACCATTTAATAGTGTATTTTAAAGATATATATGTGCCCATGTGGATTTCCACGTGGACACATTATTATTTATAATTATGCACTATTTATGATTTCCATGTGGGTACATATATACCTTTAAAATACACTATTAAATAGTGCAGGAGGGTAAAAGGTCTTTTCCAAAGTTCGGTATTGTTACAGCAAATTCGGTCAAAGTTCAGATATTTCAGACCTTTTTCCCTATTTGAAACTTACAAATATATTTATCTGTAAAACTGAATTAAATTGAACAATGAGCACCTATTACTACACCAAAATATGTTGTTTTGATACAATAAGTTCGAATCAAATAACAATTCGCAAAGCACTAGTCAAGATGAAGTTTGTGGTGGAATTAGTGAAGTTGATAATATTTAAATTTGATATAATTAATCGATCAAAATTAATTGAGCATAACTCCTATTTATTTTAAATATATTTAAATATATATATATATATTAAGATCTTGTAAGATAGAATGTATAACATCTCTAATTAAATTAGTTATATAAATGTATTGTTCGATAGAAGAGGTTCGGAAAAAAAACATGTAGCACCCCAAGATTTACATTTCACCCCGTATCAGATAAAATGTCTCACCTTAACTGTGCTCACACTTTTTAAATAATCAATAATAAATAATATTGTAGTTATCTTTTTTGTCAATTGATAAATTATTTAATTAATTTGATAATTATGAAATTTGAACAAAAGAAAATTACATATATTATTTCCTTTGGTTTTTTTACCTATTCACTTTGGACGTTTCAGGTTTATTAAAAAAATGATTGGTATGACTATTTTACAAAAATATCCATATTCATTGATCGATGTTTAGGTCTTGATTTTTTTTAGAAATAAGTAATTAATATTAAAGGTAAAACATGATTTTTTTTGTATATTTTTTTAAGTAAAAAATGAAAGAAAAAACAATATAATTATATATATATACATATATATTGGGAACCAGAGTCTATGTCGTACAACTTTGACATATATATGTACATTTATTATACTATTAAGTTAATTATTACCACATTTTTTGGTACTCGAAACAAAACGTTAATTATGTTTAAAAAAATTATTTTAAATTTATTTTTATGAGTAAATTTTACTATTGCTCCAACTAGTTTCAACACGATCATGAAAAAACTTAATCATTAACTATGAAATTTTATCATAGTAAATAATTTATGACTATATCTTTTAGTATGCCACAATTTTTTGAACATGAAAAATATTTATTTAGCTACGAGTTTTTCTTCCAATAATTTATAGTGGCTAAAAAGTTATTATTAGTACGGAAAATTTATATTTATGGCGAAAAATCACAGTCTTATAAAATTTCATTTTGGCAAAAAATTTATGGCTATATCTTATCGTTATTGCCACAATTTTTTTTATAACTTAAAGAAAACTTATTTATTTAGCTACAAATGTTTCTTCAAATAATTTATTGTGACTAAAAGTTATTATTACTATGAATTTGCAGCAGATAATATTGAATTGCTACGATATTATATTATAGCGAAAACTCTATGGCTATTTCATTTAACTATAGCTACAATAGTTTATAACTTGAAGTAAAAGTATTTATATAGCTACAATATTTTGTGTCAAATAACTTATTGTGGCTAAAGGGTTACTATTGCTACAATGACTTTTATCGCGTGACAATAACGTATAATTAGCTATAGAACTTTGTTGTAACAGTAAAATTATAGCTATTTAGGTCATTATTGCCACAATTTTTAGCAATTATAGCAAAAGTAATGATTTAGCTTTATCAATTTAATTGTCGTGGCTATGAAATTTGACGAATTTTTTGATAGCCACAAATTGTGAATTTTTGTGGCTATTACTAAGTAATAGCTACGATTTTCAAATTCATAGCTTAGATTTCGTAGCTATAAATACATTTTCTTGTAGTGATTTATGACGATTCTTTTAAAATGAATATTTTAAAATAAATATTTTTTATCGTCTAGACACGCCACGCAAATGTCTTTTATTTTTTTATAGTACCCCCATAAGTACAAAAACTTTAGAACTAATAAAGCATAACAACAAACATATTAAACAAACTTACAAAACTAGAAATTACATTTAATAAAAACACTAGAGCACACTGATTTAATTAACACAACTAGAAATAAAATAAATAAAAACAATTAAACTAAAGGATTTTTTGAGTGAGAGTAGATTTCAAGTTAGTATAAACAGCATGCCATCCAGCTTCAGTTGGATGAACTGTGTCCCAAAAAAATGCAGATTTTGGATCATTGCACACTGTATACATCTTTTCACCTTTAACATTCATACTTCCACATGAATATTTGTTGCTTATTCCCATACAACATGGCTTCAATGGTGTCTCGAACCTCGTGCTTCCTGTAAAACGATATCAAGATTTTAAGTTTATGAATTATGTATTCTCGAAATAGATTTATTAAATAATTGAAATGTGAAACATCGTCCAATATTTGGAATAATGTTAAAATTTGCTTCATTCTATAAGTTTGACCTTTTAATTCTTGTGGTAATAGAAGGAAATTATGAATTTATAACACCCCCTAGATTCGCCTTTTAGGCATCCTCCCGTTAATATTGTCTAATTCAGATTCATGTCAGATAGATTCACTAAAAGGACGAAACGCTCTAAACTAAAAAATTCTACATTTGGAGGGCCAACTAATTGGACCCAAAATCTCTGCTTAGAAGAGAAAGGATTTCAACCATTCCACGACCTTATCTACAGGAGTTCTGAATGACTTACAATTTATGTGGTGGTGGGGGGAGGGGGGGTGGGGAAGAGGCGGGGAGAGAAGACGTTTTCTCATTTAATAAGCCTTACATTGTGCAATTCAAATAGTCGAGGTCCAAAAGCGGGTATAAAACACACAACCTTACTTTGATTTGAACCTCTCAAAACAAAAGGAAAATCAGGCTAGGAAATGACTCGTTTATCAATCCGGTTATTGGACCCTAGACCCACCCTATACATAGGTATGTCATAAAACGTGTTTCATTCAAAAGGATAAATTAGACTCTTTTTTTTCAATATATTTTTTCAAAACGAAGCAGTGTCGAGTAACATACCTTGCACTCCTTTACTTGCCAGCACAGAGTTGAAAGAGCTAAAAAGATCAAGAATCACAAAAGTTGAACCCATTGTCTCATTGTTCAATTTTGCCACAGCTTGTTGCAATAGTGAATTGTGAAGATCCACAGCAATATTCTCAGTAGCATTGCATTGTTGAAATGAATTCAAAATTGTGCTTTGTGGAAGACATCCTAATGGTTCCAATGCTGTCACTGCTATCTTTTTGGCACCTAATTTGTTGACTCTTTTCATGTTTACAACTAGTTGGTTTACCACACTAGTTATGAAGGCAGGAATATCCTACAAAAAAATAACTAGTTAAATAACATGTATGTAAAATCTGTGCTGCTCGAACTTTTCGAATAATGTTGTTGTAAGTCATGTTAGATCCTTCAAAAATGCACTATTTTTGGAGGATTCAGCACGCATAGGATGGCAGTTTTGAAGAGTCAAAGTAACAACATTACAAGTATAGAAAAATTGTGTTGCTCAGATTTTACAAAATATGTTGTTTTCGTTGTGTTAGATCTACTGAAAAATGTACTATTTTTGGAGAATCTGACACACATAGAATGATAGTTTTGAAGAGTTCGAGCAACATAGTATAAATGCATATTAACATGCACATAAAATTTATGTCGTTCAGTTTGTTTAAAAATGTTGTTGTACTACTTGTGTTAGACTTAGATCTTTCCATGATTTATTATTTTTGAAGGATCCAACACATATACGATGATATTTTTAAAGAGTCTAGAATTCTTACTTAAATTCCATAGACAATGAATTTCAAAGATGCATGTGTGTTTTCTTTCTTTTAAGAGAAAAGGCATAAAGTCACCACTGAAGTTGTCACAAATTTTCAAAAAGACGTCTTAATTTTGCGGGTGTCCTATTACCCTATTGAACAACTTCCCAATAGTATGTATACCCCATTTTTCACCCAATACCACTTATACAAAAATATTTGTAAGTCACGCACTAATAGTCACTTTACACGTATTAAAAGTAATTTTTAATTATTTTTATTTGATTTCTTTGCTTTTCTTTTTATTCTTTTTTTGTTTGTTCTTCGCCTCAACCTCTGTTCTTCTGCCATTCCTTTCATGGCGATGAACAGTTGCCAAACCCGCTGTGGCGGTTCCCAGTATCACTATCAATTATTTGTCAAACTACCACCAATTAATTTATTTATGAAAATAAATATCGTCAAATAATCAAAATCTAAATACTCACAATATCACCAAGTCAAAATCTGACATTTAAATCACCTCCTTCTCCAACTTCTTACTCCCAAATTGAGTTTCCATAATTTCACTATTCCCAGATCCCAAACTTGATTTGTAGTAGGAATAAAATCACTAAACTAATTTGTTTTTTTAAAAAATAGAATAAGAATGAACACAATAATATTAGTTTTAAAAAAACAATGACCAAAAAGGAAAAAGAGCAAAAGAAAAAAATGAAAGAAAACATAAATGCCCAAGAAATATGGGTAAGCTAATGATGATAGGGAAGATGAGAAAAAAGATTTTAAAATTAAAAACTATTCCTAATAAAGCTTTAAAAAAATTAATACATGAGTTTTTATATGTTTTTCAAAATAAGTCAAATCGAAAGTGTCACATGACAATTTTACATTGGTCTGAAGCTGTATGAACAATCCTTCACGCGCCCATATTGCGTGACAACACGAGTGGTGTTAAAATTAGTCAAAAGGGTATATTTATTGTGGATTTAGATAGTTTTGTGGGGTAATAGGACACCCGCGAAGTTAAAATGTCTTTTTGAAAATTTAAAACAACTTTAATGATAACTTTTTGTCTTTTCTCTTCTTTTAAAATGATAGTGTCTAGACCAACTTGTGTTTTCCTAGATTATTTCATTAGATATCTATTACCTTTCATCGGCGCATATACAAAGTACTTCTATATACCAAAAAAGCTCAACCATATTAGCAATTTTTGTATCTATTGAAATTTTAACACGATATTCAAAATTTTATTTACTTCATTAACCACTAGCTATGAACATCCTCGGATGTTCATAGCAATGACGTGAACCCATAACTTTCCGCCTAGACCTAAATTTATCTATGATCAACCACTTGTATATAGTACTTGTGTCAACCGTCAGGTTAGACTATCACATCAGACCATTTTGAGGTGTATCACACATTTTGAGGTGTGATCCTTCCTCTGCTCCCGTAGTATGTGAGATAGTTTGTGCACCGCTTCCTCACCCTTTTAATTAACAATATGAAGGAGTAATAATAAGTAAGGATGACAGGTTTTGAACTCGTGACATTTTCTATCAAAAAAACACACTATCAAATTCCACAGTGTAATTTACTAAATCCATTAATGAATTCTAGTTTATAGTGTATAGTAGGTGTAGACCAAGTTTAATTGTTCCAAAATATCCAAAAGAAGTAGGGTGGTCAACATCTAAACTGGTGTCAGCAACAATTTAATATACAAAGAGGCCCTTCTATTCTACATTAAATATCAATTCTTCACTGAATATTTCAGTTCAAAGACTATAGTACTACTTTGACTATTTATTTTTAATCTCCATTCAAGATTTTATAGGTTCAAATTTATAATCATATGGTCAAACTCAAATTCATAATTTATGAATATGATATGTTAGATAAGATAGTCATATAATTTAATATTAATAAGAGTCATCAAAGCGATACACAAAATGTTATTTATATGACGCTCATAATAAAGGATAAGTCGAATAAATTAAAAAAACAGATAGATGTCTACATATAGTTGACAACTTCTAAAAAAAAGGTGCACATAATATCATAGGTGAATTTTCACATCAAAATGGGAAAGGAAAATGAAAAGTAACATAAATTCACATAATATACACATTTTTAGACACATGATAATAAAATTCAAGGAACAAATTCATAAAACTTATTAAGACTAACCAAGCAATACGTGTCATAGACCTGAATCATAATAATCTCAAATTAACCAATTTGTTGTTTCTTGGTTTGGTACATCAGGAAAATGGTGTATGTCACATCAAGAAAATAATATTTTTTTTAAAAAAAATCAAATACATTTTTTATGGTTAGCAATGATACACCAAAATCCAGTACATTTTTAGTGTGTAGTAGCTGCAGGGCCTAGTATAATTTGTTTCATTATAAAAATTATTGGGTTTGCACATAAAAATCCAAGAGAAATTATGTTTGGCAACATGTAATATGTCTTCTACTACTGGTGTCAGCACTCATTAATACTTTCTCCGTTCAAATTTATGTAATATTATTAACTGAATATATAATTTAATGAAGAAAATAAATAATTTTAAAAATTGTGATTTAAAAAAAGTTAAAAATGATTGTGTTTATAAATCATATCATAACAGATAAAATGATATTTTAAAATTAAGTTATTACTATATAATTATATATAGAAATATAACGTTTAATTAAGATCGATTAAAAATAAAGTGTCATATAAATTGAAATTGATAAAGTATACAATATGCCCTTCTATTCCAAGGTTCAAACAATATATTTCCGCAATTTTTTTTATTCACGTCATGTAAGATCAATTAAAATGAGAAACACTCTTTATCATAAGATTTTTTTAAATTCAAGACTAAAATCTCTAATTAAAAACGGAGAGAATACATTTCATATTTTGAAATTTCATCACACCATACAATGGTAATATTATCATTTCAAGTTTAAATGGTATACGTCATTAATATAAAGATATTTTGTACCATTAGGTTGTTAGAAGGATATTTACAAGTAAATATACTTAAAACGTATGATTTATAATTTTAAAAAGAAATAAACAAACTACCTACAATAAAAATGACTTGATAGTGTAAAATTCTCTAAAACTAATGTGTATATAATTTAAATTCATATTCCTTCTATCTCAATTTATATTATTTTGTTTAAATTTCAAAAGTCAAATCTAAAACAAATTAAATTTTTTGAAATAAAATATATTTTTAAAAATTATATAAAAATATTATAAATTATTATAATTTAAATTATTTGAAAAATCATATAAAATATCACGACAAAAATATTATTTGACTTTTGAAATCGAAAATATGAAAACGTGTCAGTCCCAAAATTTGGAAACTCAGAAGTCAGAAGAAAACGTAAATCACACAGTCAAATTTATTACTCCTAGTGAATATATATAAGTAGTTTAATTTCTCCTATCCATCTAAAAATAAGAATTTTATGGTTTCAAAATATGTGTACAAAAGTGAACACAAGAATAATTTTTTTAAACAAATAACCTACTTATATATATATATATATATATATATAAGTAGTTTAGTTTCTCCTATCCATCTAAAAATAAGAATTTTATGGTTTCAAAATATGTGTACAAAAGTGAACACAAGAATAATTTTTTTAAACAAATAACCTACTTATATATATATATATATATATATATAAGTAGTTTAGTTTCTCCTATCCATCTAAAAATAAGAATTTTATGGTTTCAAAATATGTGTACAAAAGTGAACACAAGAATAATTTTTTTAAACAAATAACCTACTTATATATATATATATATATATATATAAGTAGTTTAGTTTCTCCTATCCATCTAAAAATAAGAATTTTATGGTTTCAAAATATGTGTACAAAAGTGAACACAAGAATAATTTTTTTAAACAAATAACCTACTTATATATATATATATATATATATATAAGTAGTTTAGTTTCTCCTATCCATCTAAAAATAAGAATTTTATGGTTTCAAAATATGTGTACAAAAGTGAACACAAGAATAATTTTTTTAAACAAATAACCTACTTATATATATATATATATATATATATAAGTAGTTTAGTTTCTCCTATCCATCTAAAAATAAGAATTTTATGGTTTCAAAATATGTGTACAAAAGTGAACACAAGAATAATTTTTTTAAACAAATAATCTATCTATCTATATATATATATATAAAATATAATTTTGATTTAGTATATAAAGGATAATTTTCCCACCAAAGATTTCAGATAAAATATATACACCACCCCTAAGGCATAAGCTTCACTCTTATAAATAAGTGCAAGTGGTATACTCTATATGACACGTGCACATTTAAAAAATTGAAAAATGTTTAAGAAAGCATAAAAAAATTAAATACTAAACAATTTTTTTATTTTTTTTATATTTTAAGTCTAATTAAGTTTTAGTGGACCGAGTCTTGCGTTAATTGATATTCATATCCCTATCGATTGGAGGTAACACGTATTTTACGAAATTTATCAAATTACGTGCGAGCGACTCCTTTTTTTCCCACTCCACCCCATCATTAAGATGAATAGTATTTTCATTGATCCTCCGATATGACTCGAAACCTTAATTTATAGATTGATGGTATTGGAAGTGCTGAACCACTTACGTAAGTTGATTCGACCACCACAGATATAAGTATTGTAAGCTAGTATATTAAAGTACCTGAACTGTACCACCATTAGCAAGGTAAGCACCATAATCATTTCCAGCAAGAGAAAGCAAGAACAATGATTGTTCAATATCTGCCTTTGTGTATACTGATTCAGCCATTAATTTTTGGAAAAAATCAATTTGAGTTGTCATGTTTGGCTCTGGGACTGTAGTATTAAAAACACCAGTTCCTCCATAGGCAAAATTAATTCCATATCTTAGCCTATTTGTTGCATATTTCATCCATCTATATGGTACTGGTGACTTCAATCCCAAGAATTTTGCTGTTTTGTCCATTCAAAAATAATAATTAATTATTATATTGTCAGGTCGCTCAAAAAATATCGGTACGTAACTATTTATAAAGAGTGAGATTAGTAATCTTATGCATAAGACAAATTATCTGCTACGTTAGATAACGACGACGATAACAATAATAGCATTAACATGTACAATATAGTCTTACAAAATGAGGTCTAGAAAAGATAGAATATACACAAATCTTATTTAATTTCCACAATAGACAATAGATAAAAATGATCGACATGGTTTAAAATTTATTTACATAATCGATGGATATTAGTTAAACTCGCACCTAAGGATGTGATGGCTTTGTGGTTCATAAAATAGGTTGAAAACCACGAGATTTCAGATTTCGATACTACAGGCAAAAGTTCTTAATGATTTCTTCTCATCATTTGTCTAAATCTTGATGCGGAGTTACAAATTTACTCAAGTGTATCACAATTAAAAAAAATTAGTCACATGTGTTAACCTGTTAACCTATTTAAATGATATAATTTTTCATCGAACAGATGTCATTTAATACTACTTAGCATAAGGTGCCTCCAATACAATCTTGACGAATAGAATTATTCAACAAAAGTATTGATAAAAAATATTTATAAAATTAATCGAGATATCTATAATTTGACTCAAACATCACCTAACTTTTTTTTAAAAGACCTAACTCAAGACTTGGCATGATTGAGTTTGGTAGAATAAATTATACGTAAATCATAAATAGTGGGCAAACAAAAGTGCAATGAACAAGTGGCAAGATAATGACAATGACAATGAATGAAAAAAAAAAACTCTGTTTAGCACTAATTAATTTTTTTCATAATGTCATACTTTCACATATAAAGCAACATATTTATTGTATTTTTTTTAATAAAAAAAAATATTTTATTTATTTATTCATGGAGAAAGTAATTATGGTAGTCTGACAAGAGATGCAGAAAAAGAAACAAAAGTAGGAATAATGCAACATGTCCAGCCCCAGCAAAAGAGCATACAATGCAAAAGGAAATATACTCATTAACAACCCACTATGGAAAAAAAAAATAGAAAAAAAAAATCTTTTTTTAGTTTTTCACTCATTATTCATATTAAAGTCTGACTAAATTCAAGTTCGTATTAGAAAGTCCCACATTAAGAATAAAACACTCTCTAACAAAAACGAACCCAAACTTTTAATTAAAAATGAAGGAGTACTTACCCTCCACCACTGTGCTTATCGATGGAAAAATAAATTGTTAATATAAACAAAAAGTTGAAAGACAGATATAAAGATAAAGTGGACACAATGATGAAAAAGAGTAATAGCATAGGGAGAAGCAAAAAAAGAGATTAGGATTAATCCACATCAGAAAAAGTAAATCCTTTAGTCATTTTTTTTCTAATTTTCTTATATAAATATATTTTATTTGAATCAAAAAGCTATTAAAAACAATTTTTTCACTTCACAATATAAAAATAAAATTGCATATACACCATCATCAATTTTAAAATTCACTTATGAAAAATTATATAAAATATTTTTTTTTGATAATTTATGTAACACTATTTAACTGAACATACATGCCAAATACAAAAATATATCTAATGAATAATGACTAAAATCTTTAAAAAAATACTAAAACTAAATAATTTCTCCATCTCAACTTATATAATCAGGGGTAGAGTCGGCATACATTCAGGAGTTCATTTGAATCCCCTTCGACAGAAAATATAATTATTTATACATGCTTAATTTTTTTTTGTATATATAATAAATATTGAACCCTTTCGATTAATTTATGTATTTAGTTTCTTTAAATTTTAAATCCTTGTATTAAAAATCCTAACTTCGCCATTGTAATAATAATATAATGCATTTGAACCACACGCAAAACTAAGAATTTTTTTAACATTTATATGTAACCAAAAATCAAATAATCTTTCTAAATATATGCCACGTCAACAAAAGCGATGAAGTAGTTTTTCAAACAACATACTCTTGTAATCGTAAATATTTATTTAAATTTCATATTCAGTCAAATATTATTACGCGTAACACTAATAATAATATAATATTTAATTACCTAGGTAATCGGTGAGAACACGTCCATCGGAAAACCTGCCGGAGGGCTTGCCGGGAAAAGTGAGACCATAAGGTTGTTTCCAAGAATTAGCCATTGATTTTCTATTATTACCAGTATCAACATATGAATCTCCAAATACAAACATTTTTGTTGGTTTAAAATTATAAAATTGGTGATCTTTTTGGTCATTTTTGTAACTTTTTGGGTTATTATGGCTATTCTGGTGACGGTGGTGGTGGTGGTGGTGATGACGTAAACCTTCAACTCGAACACCCCACAAAAATCCTGTAAAAATTACAACAATAAAAAAAAGTGTATTATTGTTCAAATTCTATGCACCGACGATAATAATAATAACATATTTCGAAAGGACAAGGATGGAGTCAGAATTACATTGTTTGTACGTAGTTAAAATTATATTTTTATGTAATTATAATAAATGTTGAACAATCTTCGTTTTTTTTGTATGCTTATTTTATATTTTAAACCTTTTAAGTAAAATTTTAGTTACGTATTTGAAAAAAGAAATACAATAATAATGGAGAAAAATTCTATATAATGACAATAAAAAATATAATAATTTAAATATATAGGTCACTAATAATGTAATTACACTTGAATCATATGTTAAACTACATTCATAATTAAAGCTACATAGACAGAAGGGTGATCAATTAAACACGAAATATCTTTAAATCTTGTATCCTTTGATAAAATTCTTGATTTTGCTAAAATATTTATATTATCATGATATGAAATTTTTATTTCGTCACTATTAATAATGTAAAAAAATAATAATTATACTGACAAAATATATAACTTAAATTTAAAAAGTGTACCTGTGATTAAGAAGAAGGAGAAAATGAAGAAGTTGGAGATCTTCATGGAGATTTTGTTTGAATAGACTGAAGAAAATGGGGGAAAAGAAGAAATAGTGAGATTCTGTTTGTGAATTATAAACATATTTATAGATATGATAAATAAATAAAATAATAAAGAATATGAGGGGACATTGATTGGTGGAGTATAATTTGTTTTTTTTCTTTCAATAAATGAATAAAATAATAATAATAAGTGGATCTTTACCAATTTAACTAAAGAGCCATTTGGTCAGTGCCACAAAGTTCATGAAAAAAGGTTTATGAAGTTTTTTATTTTCATATTCACATTGGTGGGTTTCCTTTCTTCTTCTTTTTTTTAAATAGAAAATTAACCATAATGCAAAAGATGGGATATATTCTTTTCTACAATTTTTTTTAAAAATGTTAGTATTACTTAGAGAATTGATTTTTTTTAGAAAATATGATTGTACTTGGATCATCTTGAATTGCAAATATATCAACTATAGTTAAACTTTTTCATAACTATGTTATCTGTTTTCGATATCTTTTTTGTCATAGAAAACATATAACATAACATGAAAGTTCTATTTTATAGAAAATATGGTTATTAAAGTAAAATATTCTTGTAGAGAATGACTATCATAAAGAAGTTTGACTATAGGTAAAAGGATTTAGCTATTTAAATCAATGTGAAGAAATTATGTAGCATTTTCTTTTTCTCGTGATCAGAGGCGGATGGATGGTCCTAACTAATGGTCTAAACGTAATACATTTTACCCAATCAGATTACTTATAAAGTAATTGCAAGTTAATTTATTGAACGACGTGAATTGGTAACATATAATAAATCATAAATAAATTTGTTATGACATATTAGATTACACTAATGATATCTATTAAATTATTTGGCTTAAGTCATCCATGACCCCTTAAAGTTGTCCGCATAATTCACTTAGACACCTCAACTAAGGCTAGTATCTATTAGACACTTTAATATTAACAAATATATATCTATTAGACACAAAATGACAATCAATACATAAAATCCTGTGCGTGTAAGCTTAAAATAGTTACGAATAAAGTTATGACACCTGGCCATGGCCTATTGCCCAATCTAACTATAAAAAATTATTTTATGATTTTGAAAGATAAAAAAATAAGTACTGTTTTCAACCCTAAATAATTCAACCCCACCTACTAAAGCTTTTGTTCGTTCTTCTTCTTCCTCTTAGGCACTCGCCGTTCTCGACTCCTTTGGCAGATTACTTTTTGTTTTTCTTCTTATTATTCCTATAAATTATGGGGATTAAATCTATTCGGGAATAATCCGTAGCTTAGCAAAATGATTTTTGAGATGCATGTGAAAAATAAATCAATGTGAATCATTTTGAAATTAACGGCGCCAATAAGAAATCGAGAATACTCAATTTAATTCTATGAAATTTTAAGATATTATTGTCAATAAGCTTAATTAACTTATATTTTAATTTGTGTGGTGATGTCGGTTCAAAGTGGCCAGAAATATAGATGAACAGAGTCTGACTAACTTTCTTAACTTCAATGCCTAAAAATCTTCTTTCTTATTGCAAAATCAAATTAATTAGTAGATTCAGATTATATAAAGAATGAAAATAAATGAAATAACAAAGTAAAAACAAAAAAACTAAAAAAAACTGAGAGTATGGACGAAGAAGACGATGGCTGAAAAAGGGGGTGGGGTTGATTTCTTTTCTTGGGTTTACCAAGAAATTAATTTTAAATAAAAAAATAATTTTAATGCCAAATGTCAATAAAACAAAAAAAAAGGTACAAGTTCTTAGAAAATAAATAAAAATAAAATGATATTTGGAACTTGTTCACGCGCCTAATGTCAAGTGAGGTACACTTAAGTTGCTATATCAGCATTTTGTGTTTAATAGATATATGTTTTGAACAATTTAAGTGTTTAATAAGTACAATTCCTAGTTGAGGTATCTAAGTGAAATATGATGACTTTAGCCTAAATTTAAATTAGACTATTGTCACCAATGATTGGGCCAATATGGGCTGGAATTAATTGGCCCAAGTGCTTCAGGCCCAACTGACATATCAAAGTTGTCCAATGAAGTTGAAATATTGGAGATCTTAAAGCCTAAGTGAAAATTATATATCACTTAACTATGTGTCACAATTCAAATCATAACACGTATTGTCTGCTTTGGTCTAACATGACTCACAATTTTGTCTCGTGATGATGCCAACATCGAGCCCAAAAGGCGCATACCATGTGAAGTTATGAATTTGTGTTCTACTTAATAAAATTATTCACTTTCCTCACTTGTTTAAATATAGGATAGTTCGACTAAGATGTCAAGCTAAGTGATCCCTTTCATCTGAAGAACAATCTAAAAATCTGTTAGTTCTTCTGACCTTCTCTATGACTGACTTTCCATCATGCATCACATACACCCTCTTTAGGGATTCGAGTGTCCTCGCTGAGATTTGATTCACCATTATATTGAAGAAGTGTCCGTCTCTGATTTGATATTTGTCATAACAAAGCACAAATATAGCACTCATTGTCCACTTTGACCCAACATGCTCATGGATCTGTCCTTTGAACTACGCCATTTTATTATCGAGTCCAAAATTGTGCATATCATATGAACTTGTGTCTCCTCTTTTAAAGTTCTTCACTTTTCTTTCACATTAATTCCTATATAAGATTCGCCTAAATTATCATATACCATACCTCTTCTTCCGAAGCTTCAATTGACCTTCTTTATGTCCCGTCCTTGTTGACCCGCCTACGTCATGACTCGTGACCTCACACTATATATATAATGAGATTTTATTCTATTTTTAAAAAAACACAAATAATTTTAGAGTTGCTTGGAAGTTTTATTCTCTAAAAAAATTGGTTGAGTAATATTCAACTCTATCCAAAAACTTTGCTTATTAAATGGAAAAGAAAATTAAAGTTTGCACGTAAACGTGAACATAGAAGAAAAAAATATAAAAAGGTAACTTTAATATATCAAATGAATTTTTCTTTTTGTTTAATATTATCTATTTCCAATTAAATGAAGTTTTATAAGGATATCATTTATCTGGATATTTTTTTATCGTGTTAATAGAATATTATTATAAATAATATATGAAAAATCAATTCTAACAAACTTTTTCTATAATACTAAAATTGTTATAGAGATTCCAAATTATATCTGCATTTGATAGTGAACCAAAATTTTATTTGTGAATACTCCTAAAACATTTTGCTAGTTATGAAAAGATTATCCTAAATTTCATTTCCTTCTTTCCCACAAAGAGGAAATTTAAATCAAGTAAAATTCACATAGTATAAAATTCATTTAAGGGATCAATGTTCCCTACCAAGAATTTCGTTGTTTCTAAAGCTCGAACTAGAAACCGAAACCTCTGGTTAAACATAACATCAATAACAATGGAGCGGAAATATCGAACCCAAATAAAAAATCAAGAAAAAATGGAAGGAAGATTAACTATATGACAATTGACACCCTATTTCAATTTGAATACATACATGAAAATGACCTCCATTTTATAAGTCCTTTACATATTTCCCAGAACTAACTGAGGTTTATTTAGTTGCAAGGAATGGAGGGAAAAATGAAGATTAAGAACAATTGCTGTAATAGATGTTAGAAAACACGATGTTCCTCGATCTCCCGAGCAGGATTCACACTTGGGAGAGACCGATAGATCCAATGGTAATCACGGTTTCATTAACGTTTTCTTTATATAATCCAGAACTTCGTCCACATCAACTGTCCACGCAACTGAAACCGGGGAATAATCTGTCCAAGGATTGCTTGTATTCCACCTAATTTTAACGATTTATTAGTTCTAATACCGAGTTTGGCGCTATAGGCAAGAAAAAAATAAGTTCAAATACTCTGTGTTGCTCGGACTCTTCAAAAATGTTGACAGATGGATGTCAAATCCTCTGGGAATGTGCATTTATGGAGGATCTGACACTGGTGTGGCAACATTTTTGGAGTGTTCCGAGTAACGTAGCAAGTACTTACTTCTTTAGCCCTTGGTCCATCAAGGTGTGCCCGACGCAGATGCCTTGTGTCTCAACCCTCACAACGCCCTTCTTGAAGGTGAAGAGGTCAGGCCGAACTAGTGCAGCAAAGCTAACAGGATCGTGTAGGAAAATTCCTGCAAAGAGGACGGCATATTATTATCAGTGGTGCCTAACCTATGTTGCTTGGACTCTTCAAAAATGTCGTCAGGTGCATGTTGGATCCTCTAAAAGCGGTGCATTTTTGGAGGATCCGACATAGGTGTGGCAACATTTTTGAAGAGTCTGAGCGCCAATTGATAAGAGATGATCACGAGAAAAATACAAGAAAGTGGTTTAAGAAGCACCGTCAGTCATCCAAAAACAATATAAGAACGCAGAAGTTACCATAGACACCGTCTGATTTTACGTGCCAATCACGGTAAAATTTGCACATATCGCACACAAATTTAGCGTGTTTTCCTTTGGACTGCTTTAGTTCTTCAAGATCAGCATCTAAAAGCAGGGAATCATACTCATATTTAAGAGGTGAACAAAATTATACAATTAAAGGAGCAAAAAATAGAAGCATTCGACATATTTAAGTGGTGAACATTCACCTTTCAATTTGACTTGTGTTGTAATGTTGATGCCTACAACATCAATATTTGCCCCCGACGTAAACACAACATCAGCAGCCTCAGGGTCTCCATGTATCTGCTTCGTCAGAAAACTAAGCAAATGAGTAAACAGTACTCCCTCCGTCCCTTTTTAGTTGTCCACTTTAGAAATGGCACACAGAGTGAAGTTACAATTTTACCCTTATGACAACTTTTCACTTCAAAATTACAACCACTTATTTGAATTCAAGTGAAATAAAATTGGAGGGAAACAACATACACTTTTACAATTTTCAAGAAGTGTAAATAAGGGTATAATAGGAAAAAATTTGTTGTCCTTTCTTGATTTGTCAAAATGGACAACTAAATAGGGACAACCAAAAAAGGAAATATGGACAAGTAAATAGGGACGGAGGGAGTAACAAATTGGATCAATGAATACAATAAAGACTGTTTCTTCAGCTTTGCATAACGAATAAGCGAACATGAAAAAAACGTTGAGCTTATAGACGTTGACAACAATATGAAATGATGTATAGTACACAAGAATTCCTAGTATTTCTGCTGGCATAATGCCAAAAAGGACCCATATTATACTCAAATTTCAAGGAGAACTTGGTGTCTACTAAACATTTCTACGTAGTGCATGGTAAATATTAAAGACAGACGTTTTTGCAAGACATTACAGGACCAAACAACTACATAAACATGCTTCCACATTGTAATACATTACAACAACAACAGCCTGCCAAATGTACATTCACAAATGGGGTCTGGGAAGGGTGTTCTACTTTTGTGAGAAAAGTTGTTTCCGATAGACCATTGGCTCAAAAAAGCATATCAACGCAGGTTTGAAAAAGGAATTGTAAAACATTGAAAAAACAATACTCTTTATATACCCCATTGGGGAAGAAATCACTCACATTTGCTTCTGCGGCAGGATTAACATTTCCTAAAGCAAAGAAGGAACCACCAAGTACAACCACTCTCTTCACCTTGCTTGCAAAGGTTGAGTCCCTCTTGACAGCCTAACCAACAGATAAAGATGAAATTTTTGTAAATGCAAGGTGAAATCAGAAACTTGAAAGTTGTGGAAGTTTTGAGATACAACGTACCAAAGCCAAGTTTGTCAATGGTCCCAGTGCAAGTATCGACACTTCACCAGGATATTCACAAACTTTTTCCACCAAGAATTCAGATGCAGATTTGTCGATTTTCTTTGAGTTTGGAGAAGGTAAGAATAAGTTGCCTAATCCATCTGAGCCATGAACAAAATCTGCAACACGTGGTTCCCCTCCCTATAGCAAGAAACAAGAGTTAGGTGACAATGTGTTGAGAAGCTACAAGGGAGAAAGGAAACTAAAGCATAAACTAAACAGAAAAAATCCTGTAAAAGCAATTATCGTTTTTATTCTTTAATCTATTCTAATATATATCTATGCAGTAGAAAAAATGTTTAAAAATTAGCTTCATGTTAGGTATCCTCAAGTGATGCTGCAATCACTTGTATCTTTGGAATAGCATGTGAGATTGCAAAAGAATAAATTGTTGCTGTTAGAAGGAATATACGGTACCTTCAGAGGTTCAGAGCTACCCTCTGCCACGGGAACATCCGGATAACCTGCAGCTTCACACTATCATTTTGCAAATTAAGTTAAAGAAGTAATTGATCAAGAACTTGATCTACAAACATCTAGAAGATGGAAATTTTAAATATGATGAAAGGAGAGAAATATAGATAAATACAAATAAAATTAAAAACATACCAAAAGTAATGCATTTCGTGTAGCATTTTTTGTGGTTACGTTGCCAAAGATTGTAGTCAAGCCTATGATCTCAACTTCTGGTGTCTGAAATGCCATTAGTATTGTCATACTGTCATCTGTTATCAACGAAAACAAAATTAGCTCCAATGTGACTAATGGGAACCACATCGAACATGAAGCTCATCAGGAAACACACATAAACACAACTCAGCCTACTGAATACCTATTATGAGAGAGATACGAGTCTTTCATTTTCATTCACCGGCACAATTTATCCCCCATATTTGAGACGATAGAAATGAAAGAATTTCTTGATATTTTTTCAAGCATCACTAAGTATTATACTTTTATCTTTTTCCTGGTTGATGAGTCACCAAGTATCATATTACTAAAAGTGCATTAGTTTCTACTTGAATGAAACACAACTTCTATGCCAAAGCGTCGCCACAAGATATGCTCTCTCAAAATTTCCTCTTTCACGAAGAAAATAGCTTTGCCGGAAAAGAAATTTCAGAACAGAAAGGGGAAACTGTTCCAACCTATGATAAGTGCTAAGCTTCCTTCAAACTTCTCGATCTGGGAAACCTCATCAACTCTGCTCTTTTGGGATAAGGAAGAAAACAGAAGGAAATCAGACATTCAAGGAAAACATCCTGCTATTGCATTGTGTTTTCCCTTCTCGAAGACATCTTTCTCTGATCAAAGAACGACTCTCCTCGAGTTGGATTTTGGTTTAGTTTCACAGGTTGCATTTATTTGATACTTCTTTTCTTACTCTCTAGTATAGAACTCACGGCATACTCTTATTGCTATTTAGTCTTGTCCTTTTGTTCTATAATAGCCAACCATCTTTGCTACTTTAGCTTCCTCAATATTATTGAAGTTCGAAGTTTCCAGTCCAGAGTGATGTTACAGATTGTTAATAGTTAAGAGTGAGTACTACATAAACAAAGTTAGCAAACGAAAATCCTACTATAGTTGTTACCGAAGAATCAAGAGAATTATAGAAGCTACCTTGAGAAATTTATCAGAAAAGACAATATGATTTCTTAGGTGCCTATGTGTTAGTACCATCTCCCGATTTCTTTATGAAAGTAACAAAACATTCCTTGACTAAAAGAAGTCTCAAAATTAGAAAAGACCATATATAAAGTTAATTGCATACTTTCATATATTAAAAGTACATCTAATTTAGGATGACGAAAAGCTACTTTATCTCCAAGATTCTCTTCAAAACAAACTGAAACAATCCCAAAATTCACATATTCCAGAAAGAATGAGAATATATTATATCTGATTATTGTAATCAAAATGGACACAATAAAGTAACTTGGACCCCTTCTCTATATAGAATCTGCCCTTCCCTTTGCACTTTTAACAACAAAAGAGAAGAATCTTCAAGTACACAAAACTGAATCCCCGAAATGATACCACATTCCCATAAGAACTCCCAAAACAATACAAAATTTCCCAAAATGTCATCTAGTTGTCTAAGAATCTCAAAACCCGATTATAATCAAACAAACAGTTCAGCTGAAAAAATCACTAAACATATCAACTTAAAATTCATCTATGAAAAAAGAACACCCAAATTCAAGACACTGAAAAAGAAAATACTGAAATTTGCTAAAGTTCCCAACTTTAAACAAAAAGGTAGAAGATTTAACCAAAAATTTATCTAAGAAAATCAAAATCCAATTACCATCAAACAATTATTTTACTAAAAGTTTCAACATTAAACTCATTCCTGAAAAACAAATTACACCCAAATTCAAGAAGCTGGAAAAAAATGCTGAAATTAGCTAAAGTTCCCAACTTTAAACAAAAGGGTCATCTATTTGTCTAGCATAATCAAACCCAATTACCATCACATAAACAATTTGCCAAGGGTTATCGAAAACAACCTCTCTAACTCCCAAAGTAGGGGTATGGTCTACGTTAACCCTACCCTCAAGTGGGGTCTATTGGAAACAACCTCTCCACCTCCCAAAGTAGGGTAAGGTCTGCGATCACCCTACCCTCTCCAGACCCCACTTGTGGGGTCTATTGGAAACAACATCTCTACCTCCCAAAGTAGGGATAAGGTCTGCGTTCACCCTACCCTCTCCAAACCCCACTTGTGGGATCTATTGGAAACAACTCTCTAGCTCCCAAAGTAGGGATAAGGTTTGTGTTCACCCTACCCTCTCCGTACCCCACTTGTAAGGTCTATCGGAAACAACTCTCTACTTCCCAAAGTAGGGATAAAGTTTGCGTTCACCCTACCCTCTCTGTACCCCACTTGTGGGGTCTATCGGAAACAACTCTCTACTTCCCAAGTTAGGGGTCCCTATCCTCTCTAGACACCATCAATAACAATTCAGCCAATTACTAAAACTCTCAACATTAAACTCATTCATGAAAAACAAACAACACCCAAAATAAAAAAAACTGAAAAAAAGGCTGAAGTTCTCAACTTTAAACAATAGGAGCCCTCTATTTCTCCAACAAAATCAAAACCCCATTACCATTAACTAAACAATTAGCTAAAATTCACAAAAAAAAAATGCAGAAATTTGCTAAAGTTCCCAACTTAAAACAAAAGGGCCCCTCTATTTCTCCAACAAAATCAAAACCCCATTACCATTAACTAAACAATTAGCTAAAATTCACAAAAAAAATGCAGAATTTGCTAAAGTTCCCAACTTTAAACAAATTTATTCTTAGGGTAAGAAGAATATTCTTACCAATACCAGGATCAGTATCAATAATAATCTTTTCACGTTGCTTAGCAAAAGAATTGTTGGAAGCCACCAAATCACCATCATAAATCGACATTCTTGAAAAGTTTTCAAAATTCAAAAGGGAAATTTTTTTGAAGAAAAAAAAGGGGAATATTGGGACCTAGAAAGACAATGAAAATGCAATATGATAACAAAAATCAAATCATAGAATAAGAAAAAAAAATTGTGGGATTTATTAATAAGTGAAAAAAAGGATAAGAATTTGTAAGAGTCAGCTCTGATGATGAGCTGAATTTTCTAAAAAACTCAGCTCCTTTTTTTCTTTTCTTTTTTCTTTTCCTTTTCTTGTTTTATAGAGTTGTGTTATGTGTGAATATATATGAGTTTGGGAAAGAAAAGTAGATAAGAATATGTGGATCCTAATTTGATTCCCTTGTGGTTTTCACTCGATGTATGATATCTATTATTTTCGAGGCTTGCACATAAGATCTCATATTGATGTTATGGACAAAATTCGATTTATAATTTGAAATTTATAGATTTCTGAAGGACTTCGTGTTAATATATAATTATAATTGAATAAAATGATATCTTAATTAATTTGATTCACATTGTGTTCTCTTTGGCTTTTTCTACTCCGCATCTGATATTTGAAAATTAAAGATAATATTTATTTTTAAGGCTCAAATTGGAGACCTCATATTGATTGTATAGCTGCATATGTGTATTTAGAATTTGAAGATTATGTATTTCTATAATAATAATTGATAAATTGGTATACTAACTTGATCCTCATCGTATTCTCTTTGTTTTTTTCACTCGGTATCTAATTTTGAAAAATTAAAGATCATTTTATTTTCATTGTTCAAACTCAATATTTCATGTTGACATTATAGGCAGCGGTAGATTCATAATTTGAAGTTTATAAATTACTACGGCAATCTCAAGTCAATTATATACAATAATAATTGAGTAAATTGGTATTGGCACCCTAATTTGATTCGCACTCTCTTTGGTTTTTTCACCTGGCTTTCAGAATCCAAAAATTAAAGACGATTTTATTTTCAGAGCTCAAATTTAAGATTTCATGTTGATCTTATAGGCAGATGCGAATTCAGGAAAAAAAAGTTTATATGTTTCGATAAATTTCAAGTTAATGTACAATAATAACCCGTGAACATGCACAATATATGCTAGATCCATCCTAGATGGAGGAGTACTTATTGTGGTAGTCAAAATTTTCATGAAGAGAATTTAAAATTTTATACCATAGCATATTTTCTTTGATTAAATCACTTAGAAGATGATACCAAAATACATAGTGTGAAATTTCATTCCTTTTTATGGGTTTCTTTTCCTCAAAATAACTATTAATGTTATGACAATTATAGACTAAATTGTTTTTTTTAATATGGATTAAGAGAGCTCTAGATTTAATTTAATATACAAGATTGGATTTGATTTTGATTTTATTCAATTTTTCTTTGATCAATTTGTTGATCCAAAAACACTATATTGGACCCAATTAAGATCTTTGCATGTTATGTGATTTTAGGAGTTCAACGCTAGGTAATTTGATCAATAAGATCGTCTAATTTCTATAGAACTTAATTACTAAAATACTCGTAAAGGATAATATGGTTAAGCAAAGCCAAATAAATTTTTCATGAAAACCATTTCTCCACACAAAATTTGTGAATAAGTGATTATTTGATAGTAATTTATGTCGTATTATTATTATATTAATAAAAGACAGTTTGGCGCACTAAGCTTTCACTATGAGCAAGAGTTAAGGAAGAACTGAATCACAAAAGTCTATTATACATAAGTCATACCCTTACTCTATATTTCTATTTTTTTAAAAAAAAATATTTCCATAGCTCAAACAACATGTTACATCAATCAAACCCTAAAAGACAATAATTACTTCTTTGTTAAACTAAGAAACAAAGAATAACCATCTATGATGAGGATCTTTAAGGAATTGTAGGTTTATCCAACTCAAAGAATAAATATTAAAAAATAATAATGTAATTTATAGGATTTTTCTACAACTAAAAGGATATTCTTAAATTACCTCCTAGTTAGTGAAACAAGAAAGACAAAGGGTGGAGAGTAAAAAACTTTTTTGCGTTACGTTTCAATGAAATGAAGATAAGAAATCAAGCTTTACTTTACCAGGTACGAAAAAAAAGCCATCACCACTTAAGTAGCGTGCGAGAAAACTCACAAGTAAAGATTTTTCATTCACAATATTAGGTTTACTCAACAATAAGCATACAAGTAAAGAGAATATTGTTAGTTATTTTGCTATTAAAAAGTTGTTGGACATAAATTATTGCACGTTATAGCACATGTATTTGACCTGGAAATTACATGGAACTATATATAATAATCCATTCAATAATTTCACATGCACATGGATTGATGCAAGTGACTTTTCAACACGTAACAAAATTGAATAATGAAGCGTGTGATTTTAAAATACAAGATATTTATCGATAACGTAGTCATAATACATACGCCGATATATATATTTAGCAAAAATCGAACAAATGGACGGGTCAATAATCTGTTAAACAAAATATTTACATATGAGAAATATCACCATAAAAGTGATGCATCCCTTCCCACATTTTCTCTATTTGAACAATAACAAAATAATACAATTTCATTTTATTTCTTTTCTCAATACTAATTCTAAGTTAAGAAATTTAATTTTACATGTAAGTAAAAAGATCTAGTTCAAATTTTACTGTGAAGACAGTAAAAAATTCTTTAGATCAAATCTTCCTGCCTTTGTTTTCATCATAATGCACAAGCTTTCATGTCTTGGCATTAGGGGAACCCAAAATATTAGCTGCACTCTTTGCTAAATGGCTTTTCATATTCCCACCAGTTTGTGTTGGGCCCTTTGCATTTGTCATCTCGGCCACGAGAGTCGATTTCTTTATCTGTCAAACGAACAACAACTGATCAGCTAATAATGACCGATATACATCACCGGGACGGCAGGACCAAAGGTTGACTTCAGATTACGGGTTCGGCAGAAACAGTAGCTTTGACTCAAACCATGTATATTGGTTGAGAAATTCAGATTTAAATTTAGAACACAGTTATAAACTCATAAAGTTCAAATCTTGGATCTGCACTGTTAATGTCACATTATCTTCTCATTTTGAAATAGATACGTAAAGACGAAACCAATCACAAGCAATAAGACAAAGTAAAAAATTTATCTTACCACTGCTATTCTCTCCTTGTGGATGTCACTTGTTAACTGAGAAACCAGAAAAGAAACAATCAGATAACAAGAAAAGATTGGAAAATAAAGACAACATCACAAAGAAGTATAAATATGTAGTATTGAACTCACTGGCTTCTTGTAGGCTCTGATTTCATCCCCGCCAAAACCAGGGAGAGTCATATTCCAATTCCTTTCTGTATCAAATACACTTTAATAGGTTAGGTACTGCATAACGTTGGACCAGTCAGGAATAAAAAGTAACTTACCAAGATGCAGAAGGATGTCCTTTGCTTCCAATGTATTGGATTTTCGATGCTTGGCCAATGAACAGCCAAATGTGGTAATCTGGTCAAGCAGGAAGTAGTTAAGGATCAGTACAAAAATGAGAAACGCGCTGTTAACATAGTATTGTCATTTGGCTGGAGAATATACAGGTCCAAAGGGACTCTGATACCAACTTAAACCACCCAACAAATATGGAAAAAAATAATAATTCAGAACTCTGATTTTACATGCCGTGGTGTAGAATGAATGAGCAGCTCATTATAGAGCTCTTACTATCTAGAAGTGTGAGGAATGATCAGCCTTCCCTTTCCTCC